AAATAAAACAAAAACTTTGGGAAATTTTCTCTAAAGGAAACACAAAGTTCCCTTGAATTTCCCATGTCATGAAAACACTTACCCCTTGAGTTGGTGTCTTATAAATGCTATCACTGATTCTAAATTAAATAGATGCATTCAACTAACTTTATTGATGCACATTTTTTGCATTTGTTCTTTGGGTAGTGTTTGTCTATCTCTTTGCCCTGGTCTTTGTCACCTTCTTGCCCAGGATGACCCCAGAGTCTGGCGCCATGTTTTTTACTGAGTCTGGAAAGCACCTACTCTTCACCATGGGGGGAAAAGCGATGGCTTGTTTACAGGTTTTCTAAGTGAATTTCAGACAGTTAGACAGCACTACATTTGCATTGTATAATGTTCCACTTAGGAGAAGGGAAAGGGCCCAGGAGACAATACCACACTCACACATTAGATGGTAGCTTGAGTGCCCATACTTCATATTGGAAGTTGCATCTACAATAACATAATGGCCCTTGTGAAACATACAGTCATTGCCCCAAGAAAACATTGGACCTGTATCCAGATGGCAAAGTGACTCTGCATTTGCTCTAAATGAATTAATGGCTAGTTTCCCTAGGGTGGGAGCTAGTACAGCTCCACACAGGGCCTCTGGGTAGGGCCAAGGGCGGATCCGGCCAGCAGGTGTTTCATTACTGCTCTACAACAAAGTATCTTCATATGTAATTTGACACAGTAACTGGGAATTGTTTTCATCCCAACAAAAACTGATTTCACCATTCTCAATCCCTTTGTGGATATAATGTGCCCCTGTCACCAGATCTTCATGATGATGTTGCGTCCCAGGAATTGTTAATACCTCACAGTTTATTGTTTTTTAGGTGCTATATTGACATCTGAAAATAGAGGTAAGTGTTACTTTTTCCTGAAAATACCGCCTTTTTATAATTACATTTGGGACTTTCAGATCTGCAAGACTGAACAGGAATCGGGGCCTCAGGCAGGCAGCAGGCCCTCCACTGGGAGTGCTGGGGGTGCAGGGCCAGGGGCAGGGGTCCAGACAACTGGGCTACCAGACTGAGGGGCTGGTCTGGGACTCAAGGGTCTTCAAGCGGGCTTTGTTTGTGAGCGGCCCTCTTGCAGGGTGGCATTGAATTGTCTCTCAGACCAGTGCTATACCTGCCTGTTTTTCTAATCACTTTTCTGCTCGGACCCTGGGAATGGCCGTATTTTAGATGCCTTGCTGTGGCACAAGGCCTTAGAAGAAAGTGCTACAGGGCACGCCACTGTCAATGTCTGGAGTACCATGGCCGAGCCCTGTGCTCAGGTGACCTGAGTCTGTCACATACCCCTCAGAGGAGTGTCTGGCAATGACGGGGCTGTACATTACAAGGCAGGCAGTGCTGTGAGGAGAGAGTGTACCAGGCGCTTAGTAACTGTTGCTTTGTAATAAGAGGAAATGAAAACAAGGAAGATAGGAATTCTCACGGAAAATGCTGGATCCTGGGCTGAGTGCCACGGAGGATACAAAGAGAGAAAAGGCATTGTTTCCACACTCAGGACATTTACCATCCTGTGGGCAAAGTCAGCCGTGCAAACATAAACAGCTGTCCCAGGCTGTGTGCTCAGTGTCAGAGGAGAATGGGCCTCTGAGTGGTGGACACATCTCTAAGTGCTGAGCTGTGTTGTAGGCAGCTGCCTACTAAAAATACACATCGTGTTTATGAAGGGCTGGCTTAAATTAGACTGGACTCAAGGTCATGCACAGAACGATGTCACCATCGCTGGCTCATGCTTCTCATGTTCTTCGGATGGAAAGGCTGGGGTAACAGGCAGCTGGGATTGCATATGTGGACAGCCTCACTGATGTAAAGATGTGAGTGACATGCTCTGACGGCCACCTCGGCTTTGCAGCCATCAATGGTGGCTGGTTCATCCCACGGGAGTGGAGTGTGGAGCAGGGGTCAGCTCTCCAACGCCTGGGGTAGCTGGGCAAAGGTGGAGTTAGGATCATGCCTTGAGTGAAGGGTGGAATGAGGTGAGTGGAGTGGAGGGATCAGCTGGAAGGACAGAGCTCTGATTGTGTTAGAACCAGAGCAGAGTATTAGAGAAATGTCATAGGGCCTGGAAATCTGGACTCAGGGCCACCCCAGGGAGTGGGTCCTGGTTCCCACTGTATTCCCAATACCGACAGCGCTCACCCACCTCATAGAAGGTGCTCAACATGTATTTGCTGAATGAGTATGTTAATGAACTGGACTGTGACACCTGCACCTTAGCCTGTAGGTGAGAGGCAGCAGATGCGACAGGGAGCCAGTGTCTGGTGGCAGGTACTCAGAGGGCGCTTCCCCTCCCAATGGAAGCTTACCTGTCCTGCGTCTCATTTCATTTGTCAAACTACCACATAGTACTTGGAAATAAACATTATTAAAAAAACCACAGCTTACTGTGACATCTTTTCCGGGTCATGTTAACATTTTAACATGAGCCTTTAAATTGTCGCCACTGGGCGTGTGGGGGAGGGCAGCAGTTTGGGTGGGTGGCCTGCGGCTGGAGGATCCTTAGTTCTCCTGGAATCCCCGTGAGCAGGCCTTGCCTGGCTTGTACCCCAATAGTCAAAATACATAGGCTCCAGGTTGTGGTCTCCTCTCTGGTTTAGCCTAAAGAATTTCAACTTCACTACACCCTCTGAACTGGGAGGTTTCCTGGGCCTCGTGCTCCATCCTCTTCCATCTCCAGGGGACTTCCTTGGCCACTCTCTGATACTCCAGCTAAGTCCCTTGGAAGTGATAAAGGGACACTAATAAAACTGGCAGCCATCCTCACCATCTGTGGAGTGACTTGAAACAGAACCTGTGCATTCTGTGTGGTGCTTTTTCACTTCTTTTTTTTAAGCAAAGCTAATCAGATAGTTTTGAGTTACTTTGCATTCTGATCGCCAGTGTAGCAATCTTTCGCTGTCTCCTTACACTTACCACAGCAACATAGTGATAATCCTACTCACTGCCCACACAGGGAGCTTGTCCTGGTCATTGCTGTCCCTGAGATGCCTCCTGCACCTAGTAATTGAGAGCCAGCTGGGCTTCCTTGGAACTTCTTCCTTTGCCTGACCCATGGGATACTCCTTTAAGATATTACTGAGAAGTCTAGAGGAAAGCCTCAACTCATTTGAAACTTTTAAAGAGAAAATCCTGCTACTTAGCACCTCCAGGCTCCAGCAAGCAGCTGGAAATCAGTCTTGGTTTTATGGCAGTTGAAGCCCCGTGGGCTTCAGGCTCACAAAGTATTCTCGAAGTTCCAGCGTGGAGCGCAGTATATATCACATTTCAGTCCTTGGGCTATTGATGGCTGCAAAGCCGAGGTGGCCGTCAGAGCATGTCACTCACATCTTTACGAACACAGCTATTAATACCTCTCACTTGAGTTGGCCAACTTGGAAAGGCCAGAGCTCAGATGTCCCTGTTCTTCTGCCCTGCCCTCCCGGACTACATGTTAAAATTCAGAAATAGGGCATACAGGGGAGGGCAGCAGTCTGTGTGGCAGGGGTGGCATCTGGTCTGCCCTAGTCTGTCTTGGTGGTGGTTGGGGGTCAGTCTTGTGGTACTGGGTGCATGCGTATCCTATGGTGGTCTCCAGTGCTTGTGGGGTCTTAGGCAGCTGTGAACTATCACACAGGCTGGGTAAGTTGGAGGGGGGATGGGGATGTGCTTGGTGCATCTGGCAGTGGAGCAGGTCTCTGCCATGAGGTAGGGACTGCCAGTGCCCCTGAGATCCACACTCTCATTAGGACATAGCCCTAGCTTTATGGAGGGTTGCCCTGCACCCTGCTGAGAGCTACCCTTCCCAGTCTCCCTGGCAGCCAGGTGGGGCCTGTGAGGGTGTTCTGGCTGTGTCTGAGTGAGAAAGCTGCCATGTGGGGCTTCTGGGAAAGGACTGACTCTACCAGGGGTGTGCTTATTTGCTCTGGCAGCACCCTTCTGTCTCTGCACTGCAGTCTGGACATGCTGCTTGGCACCGTAAAAGCCATTTTGAATCTTAAGGTGACTCTGAGGATGGAAGGATGTGCTGGGATGATGGAGCAGAGAGATAGAATGTGGATCTTTTAAACTTTTTTTGAATTAAACTTTTTATTTTGAGGTAATTGTAGATTCACCTACAGTTGTAAAAAATGACACAGAGATGCCTAGGTACCCTTTACCCAGTGTCCCCTATGGCAACTTGGTACCACCACATGGCCAGGAACTTGACTTCCATGCCATTAAGATACCACCACAGGAGCCCTCCTGGGCCACTTTTATTGTTACCCCCATTTTCCTCCTGCCCGGTACCCTCCTTACTCTCAGGAAACCACTGATCTATTAGAGCCTGATCTTGATGAAGGCAGAGCCTCTGTCTCAGCCTTGGGCCACTTATCTGTGGAACAAAATTTGACTGATTGAGAGATGTAAATATCTATATTAATGAATCCAATCAAATATTACTTTTTCCAAATGTCATACAGTGAAATTTAATCCTTAACTGAGACAGCTGAGGTCCAGAAAAGGAGACGAAACTGCCATCATTACATCAGGGGAAAGTAAAGACTTATGAAGGTGGTTTCAAAGAAGCAGGAAATCGTAGCTAAATCAAGAAAGGATTAGGGGCTGTTTCTCTCATGTACCACTGAATTTCCCTTCCTCACAGGGGTGACCCTGGCTTTCATGAGGTGCTTTAGAATGTTTTTTATTCCAATCTTGTTTGAGTATTATAAATAATTAATCTTAAAATATCCTAGCTGCTACAAATATTTAGTTTACAAAGATTTATTGCATCCTAAAGTCTGCAGTTACGATTTCTTGAGGTGACAACACTTCCCTGGGGATTTCAGTTCTGATTTTCGGAAAGTGATTAGCGGAGAAAGTGGAATTTGATGTTCAGAAATGTTCTAGAAACTTGCTTCAATGTGTCAGGACTGTTAGGACGGTGGGAGAGTTCTCAGGAGAGTTCTCAGTCGGCTGCTCACGCTGTGTCTCCCTCTCCAGGGGCAGGCGTCAGAGAGGACGTGTTTCTCATCTGGAGGGAGATGAAGGAAGCTTGCAGCACGCTGGCCCAGATGCAGAGGCTGGTGGCCGAGCCTCCCACGTCCAACGTGACCACAATAGACTGCGGTTGGTGCTATTTATGGGCACTAGTGTAAAAGTGCCGTATTTCTGACTAATAGTGGACCAGGGGCTGTTTCCGTGTTTCTTATTGGGGACGGTCCCGTAGTCTGGATGCCAAGGCTGCTGAGCAGAGCTTCCAGAACTGTGCTGTCGTGTGAGTGTGCAGGCTGCCAAAGAACCAGAGATAGGAGTTAAATCAGCAAGCACAGATTGTTCACAGACTATCGCAACAGGGGAAAGCCAACCTCAGTATAGAACTGGGCTCCATTCTGAGTATAACATGAACAGGTGGGGCTTCATAGTCAAGGAGCAGGGTGGGGGCACTGGATAGAAAACTACTAAGAGGAGATAGCATGGGTGAGGGGGATTCTGGCTAGACCAATTTGACAGGATTCTAGCTGAAGACAGGCCAGGGCGATGGTGGAGGATGAGGAAACTGATCAGATGTCAAGGTGATCAGATACTGCAGGTGGGAGATTCTGGCAAAACTGACTTAGCAGCATTTTTGCTAAAATCAGGTGATGCAAAGATGAACATCCAAGGGTTTGTCCAAAGGTTGAGGTCTACCTGAGAAGAGGAGTCAGAGGAGCCTGACCAAAGTTTGGTGAAGATACATGTGCTCCTGCGGGGAGAAAGAATACCTTGGTGACGGGGGTCAGCTAACCTTTGCCCTTTCCTACAGACTAAATTATATCCAGACACATCTGTGCGGGCAAACATTCTGTTCACCCTTGGATATCTACAGGAAAGACAAAATCACTTTCCTTTCAGCCTGGCCGGAGACCTTGTCGCAGAAAGGTGGCACAGGCTGGGGAAAATGTATGGAATGTTTATCTGTAAGGTCTAGGGTGAATGTAGGTTTCAGTTATTTAAAAGAAATCTTTATAATTCAGTTGCATTTATGTCTTTAGCTTAGAGCTCTTTTGTCTACGTTGAAATCTTAGAGTGTGGAAGACTAATTCATTCTCTTTAAACGATAATGACAAGCATGATGGTGACCATTTGGTGGGCACTTACTACATAGTACATCTCAGGTGCTACTGTAAGGGCTGGGCTTATATTTAGCTAATTCTCCTAATTCTATGAGGGAGTGGGTATTATTCTCCCTATTCGACCAGTAAGGAAACTGAGGCACAGAGGGATTAAGTAATTGGCCATCGTCACATAGACAGCAAACGTAAAGTCTGATTCTGAACCCCAAATGCAGAGCGGAGGCTTTCTTGCCTAGTTAAACGTTTTAAGAAGTTAGCACTACTTCCCATAATTTAATTAGCACCTTTCTTATCCTGAAAAATGAAAGCACTTTCCTGACGTTTGATGGGCTCCAGCCCCCCAACTGCACCATAGAAAGAAACTCATTACATTTTTTTTTATCAGGGAAAGACATTAAGACTATAAGAAGTATTTATTCCCCTTTTCTTTTCAGCCAAAGCATTTTTCACAACAAAGGACATGCATTGTGAAGTGAGAAAGGCCTGCTTATAAATCTCAGCCCCATCACTAGATTAACCTGGGTTAATCTCTTTCAGCCTTAATTTATTCTTTTATAAAAGGATTATAATAATGTCAATGTTGAGGAACTATTGTAACAATTAAATAAAACAATGCTTGCTTTGCACCAACCAGGAAATGGATAAATTTCAGCTCACTCTTTTCCCTTTCATATTTAGGGGAGTTGGCACACTGATTTTCCTCCACAAATTCTTGAGCTAGTGGAGGAGTTTCCTTTTTAAGGCACTGGTTTCCTTTAGGGCACACCTGGTAATGATAACAGCTACCCCAGAAAGCACATACCTTATATGTCAGGCACTGTTCAAAGCTTTCTACAAGTATAACTCATTTAATCTGGGCCACAATCTTATGAGACAGGTGCTACTGCTACTAATTAGCTTCATTTTGTCCAAGGCCACACAGCTAGTATGTGATAAAGTCTGCTTTCAAAGCCTAGTCCTAGGGCTGGGCATGGTGGATCATGCCTGTAACCCTAGCACTCTGGGAGGCTGAAGCAGGTAGATTGTTTGAGCTCAAGAGTTTGAGACTAGTCTGAGCAAGAGCAAGACCATATCTAAAAATAGCTGGGTATTATGGTGGGCACCTGCAAGTCCCAGCTACTTGGGAGGCTGAAGCAAAAGGATCATTTGAGCCCAAGAGTTTAAGGTTGCTATGAGCTATGACAGTACGGCACTCTACCAAGGGTGACAGAGTGAGATTCTATCTTTAAAAACAAACAAACCCCCAATAAACAAAGCCTAGTCCTTTAGTAAAATTACCGATGTCTGCCTCCCACCCTCCAGGCATTGTGATTTAATCCCTATGGGATGACATTGGGGTTTTTGAAAGATCCCCAGGTGATCCTAATGTGCAGCTAAATTTGGGTCCACTGCCAGGCTGCCGTGCCTCCTGGTACTGCCTATATCACAGGGGTGTCATGAGGCAGAGTCAGGAGGCCATGCGGATGGGGATGGATGCAGTTGAAGAGGAAAAACGAGGAGGAGACCTGTATAGAGGACAGGAAGGTTAGATATGAGCAAGCTTGCCCTGTGTGACTTGATATATTTCTGGTGACAGTGGCCTTTTCCTGTAACTGAGTGTCCTGACTTGGGGCTGGGAAATTAGCATCTGTGGTTGGATTTCAAGGACCAGTTCTCTGGGGGTTTCTAAGGAAAAGCCTAATAAGGCTTATCTAGAGGGGCTGCTCACTTGTAGTGACACCCCATTTGAGAACCTAGATAGTTCTCTGTCTTCCCACAAGAATGAACAGGAAGCAAAGGACCAAGGCTAACACCAACATCTATACCAGGCAAAGAGAAATGGAGATCTTTCCACTAAATTATTTGTTTGGGGAAGTGTATGGACTGAATCGTGTCCCCAACATTCAAATGATAAACCTCCAGCTCCCATGTGACTGTATTTGGAGAGGAGAGCTTTAAGGAGGTGATTAAGGTTAAATGAGGTCATAAGTGGGGCCCTAATCTAATAAGATTGGTGTCTTTATGAGAAGAGGGAGAGACACCAGAGAGCTCTCTCTCCCCATAAGCACGTGGAGGACACTGGGTGAAGGTGACCATCTATGAGCCAGGAAGAATGGCCTCACCAGAAACCAGTGCTGCTGGGACTTTGATCTTGGACTTCTGTCTTCCTAAATTATAAGAAAATAAATTTCTGTTGTTTTAGCTGCCCAGCCTGTGGTATTTTGTTCTGGCAGCCCAAGCAGACTAATACGGGGATTATTTACATTTGCTGTAGTTATTCTTAACAGTTAACAGAAGATTTTAGATGTTATTCCCAAAGGAAACAAAAGAGGCCTCAGAAATTGGACAATGATCGGTCACTGTCCCTTTCTTTCAATCTAATATACATACACACAGAGACACCCCCAAGACTAAAAACCAAAATGACTCCTAGAGGAAATAGTTAAAAAATTCTTAGAAAATGCCGTTTCTATTTAAAAAGGAAATTTGGTCAGGACCTTTCCTCTGTTGAATAGCCATCTAAGGTTTTAGAACCTTGATTTCACCCCAGAGGCCACACGTTCCCATCCACTGCCCAGTATTACTGAGGCAAAGTCTTTATCTGTCCAAGAAGCTGCTTGGACTGCTTGGGGCAGAGGCAGCAGCCATTCCCCCAAGTTAGCTGCTGAAAACTTACAGGCCAGAGAAGAGAGGGTAGCTAGCTAGAGACAGGAAGGGCAGATTAGAAGAAGTCAGGTGGGCTACTATTCCATGTGGAACCTTCAGGGGAATTAGACAAAGGCTGCCCTCCTTGAGGACAGTAGCTCCCCTATCTCCCCTGGGCTGGGTTCACCAGTCAGTGGGCAGCCAGCACATACAACCATAGGGCCAGGAAGGCAGTTCATGGCAGGAATGACTCATCAGCCTAATGCGTGGGATGAGAAATGATGAGGCCAGATATTCTGGCCAGTGCTAATTTTGACCTCTTTTAATTACCAAGATCAGGACATAAGAATCCTCTGGAAAGAAAAAACGGACAAAAATATATGAATCAATAGTTTTTAAGACACTGAACACCAAGCAATGAAAGCCAGTGATACCTGAAATAGATGGGGAACCCCCCCCCCCCAAAAAGTGAGCTCTAGATTTTCCTAGCTTACTGACTTGAGTTTCCAGGCCACAGTGCATCATGAAGGAGGAACCCAGGCGGAGCCCAGCAAACTTCCTGAATTTGGGACACAGAACTGAGAGTCTGGAGAGATGAAGGCAGCTAGAATTCACAGGACAAAGTACCTTAGAGGAGAAAGGTACACAGAAGGAGATGCCCAGAAATCTGTAGAGAGTCACCCCCATGAATTCATTTGAATACTGAGTAGCTCATGCACATGAGATAATTCTCTGAATCTGGGGATAGATCCATTGGAAAGAACTATAAGAAAAGAGCTTGGGGTTCACACAGGGGCAGGAACAGTGCCTATTCTTCCCAGCCTGAATATTCATAATTCCCAGGTAGACTACTTGGGAAGCTCCTGCCTTAGTAAAGGGAAATAATTACCTTGAACTGAGCACTGCTTTGGGCCCGCCTAAGAAATCATTAAAGCAAGACACAAAAAGAACAAACTATTGTTAATATAGCCACATCTCAGAACAAAGCTCAAGAATGCAAGAATACTAAAACACCTAACACCCAACAAGGTAAAAGTCACAATGGTTGGCGTCCAATAAAAGACTTTTTAGACATGAAAATAAGCAGGAAAATGTGGCCTTTAATAAGAGAAAAATCAATCACTCAAAACTGAGAACTGACACAGACATGAGCATTGTCTTAAAAGGTACTCAAAGTCATACCTGTATTTCGTATGTTTGAAAAGTTGAGATGGGAAGGCATAAAAAACGATACACACTGAACTTTTAGAGATGAAAACTGACAGAGAAGAAAATATTTTAGATGAAAAACATATTGAGATTGATGACAGATTTATAAAGTCAGTGAACTTGAAGACAGCAATGGAAACTATCCAAAGTGAGACACACATGGAAAAAAAAAAAAAAGAA